AAATGGGGGGGGGGGGGGACACAAGAGATATATGATGTTCCATCCGCACTATGTGTGAAAGGATAAAAGCTCTCACTCAAAAGTCGTTCAGCAGTGAGCCAATAACTCCTATTTAGCTAAAGCTAGAAACATGTGCTTAACACTGAAAAATTAAAAGAAGTATGTGCGAGTTAGTAGGGTCAAATCCAAGGCGTTTCGACACTTCAAAGTCGACCCAGGATCTATGCCCCCCCGGACCCTTTTATGATACATTTTTCACTGAAAATTCTTTTATCATTATTTATTTCCCCAATTTTTAGCACAAAAAAAACTTGTAAATATTCCGTTTAAACTAAAAACAAGAAACTCGACAGAAGGCTCCATGTGGTTAGTGGTACGGCCCCCCCCCCTCTGTAAAGAAAGGTATATATTCGGATTTGGTCAGGATAAAATTATCATTCTACTACCACACACATCCTGGGCTCCTGGCGATTGCAAAATTTTCTTTGTATGGACTACAGAACTGACTTCAACTCCTTTAAGTGCTAAAACTCGAGAGAAAAGGAAAATATAAAAGCAATTCTTGGATTTTTACATCAAGATTCTTTAAGATGAAACTGTGATAGAAAAACTATATCAGGGGTTAATCTAAGGATTAATCTGGCTGAACATTGTACAGTTATAGAGTGGAATTAAGTCGAAAAAAAGTGTAAAACCGCCATGTTGTTGTACTGTTTCCATACTGGGCCCTGGAACATATTTTTATTGGAAAAAAATTTATTGAAATCAATTCTTTGACAACCTGTCATGCATTCCCGAGTTTATTTCAGCATAAGCTTTATAAAAAGAAGAAATTGTAACGGATATGTCTAATACTGTATTAATGTGATCTACTACTCCGTGAATGTTTGAAACATTGACATAAATTGAACACATTGAACTCCTGAACTAATTCATATCGAGTCGTATTTCTCTTCTATTCTAATATCTATTTGGTTAAACCCATTGCACCCGAAAAATGCCGCAAAAAGTATCTTAGATACTGTCAAAAAGAGTACACAAGACTAAAAAATCTGCCAAATACAGTATCCAAGACAATTGAATCTATCGTTCGGTTTATTCTATTTGAAATAAATCGCAATTTGGCCAAAAACAACAATTTTTAAACTCATGGAGTTGTCTATACACTTTTTTATTTAAAACGCATTAACCGACAAAAAAGTGTGAAAAAGAAAAGTGAAAAATTTATGTTAAATAGGTGAAATTGTGTGAACAAAAGCCACAGCTTTGTACAATGTACAATGTACAATATGTATAAAAAATGAAGAACTGTAGAAAATAAAGGAATTAGTGATTATAGTAATGTATAACAATCTGATATTGGCACTAGTTAATAAAACCTTTGTCTCATATACCCACAGCACCCCCCCCCCCCCTAATGGAAGGGTGGTCCCCATTCCCACATAAGCCGTCACTGCCCCCGGATCCCTTCCACTTCACTCAAATTCCCCCTCGCCTTGGCTTGGGCCGTTTTAAACTATATTTTTAGTATCTCTTAAACCACTGGTGTTCCGTAATACAAGTTCAGAGTAGAGAAAAAGACAATTTAAAAAGAGTTGAAGCATTTTTAGAAATGTCTTCTTTAAACAAATTATTTCAATTTTTTTTTCTGGATAATTTCTTAATTTTTGTAGATTTTTAGAGAATTTTTCTCTCTCGAATTTATTAAAATATCTCTTTTTTTTAAATACTCTGAGCTTATTTTACTCTTTATAAATTGCACTCTTCTAGAGTCGACTTTTTAAATAAAAATATTGAAGTAAAAATACATAGAGAATTCTTTAAAAAAGGAAAGAAAAATCAATAGAAATAGAGGTTTGGATTAAAAAAAAGTGTATCAGAACTGGATTTAGTTACTATGTTACGTGCAAATCCGCGAAAAAAATCCAAAAATCCCCGAATATTTAGAACGCGACTTACCTCCTCTCTGCCTGTCTCCGGATTCATCTTTAGCTCGTACTCCGGCGGCAGCTTGAGGGACTCCTTAATGCTTTGGAGCACGTTGGTCCCGATCACGGACACCATGACGTCAACATGGTGGATTAGAAACAGGGGCTCATCAATCACAGTGTAGGGTATATAGGCCAGGTTATCCGCGAGATACAGCATGTTCGACAACGACGTATCGACCATGTCGTCAAACTGTTTGAGAAAGTTCATGAGTATAGCCCGACGCTGGGCTTTGGTTGATCGAAGGCAAGAGTAGAGAAATCCATGAAGGGCGGTGGGTAGTTCACCTTCCTTGACACGGTATCCACGGAGTACACCAGTGTCCTGTCCAGGGAGAACCTCCTGTACACAAAAGTTTACATTAGAAATTGAGTTTTGCAGATTTTTCTGTTATCATAACTGTATGTGGCATGTCAGATTCAGAACGGTACCCTTAAAAGCGTTGTCTGATCGAAAAATTAAAAAGATCGTAATGTTATTTTGGTTCGCAGTGTTTTAAAGTTTTGGACAGAAATGTTCTCTTTACCGAGTTCAAGCCTTTTTAGATTTAAGTTTGTGTCAAGCTTTAGCGAGGGACAAAATATAATCTAAAAAGGCGAGAACCTTCGAGATATAGAAAAAATTTCAGTCCTAAAACTTTACAGCACGTCGTGCCAAAACAAGTGTTATAGGTAATTTTATATTGATGTTTAATTCAAAAACTTGATCACAATTCAGGTCTGCATGCAAAAAATCAGAGAGAAATCTCTAGTAATAAAGTCAGAAGGCTTCTTTGGCCTTTAGGAGGGAGAAAATGCGGGAAAGGGGGGGGGGAATGGTATAAGGAGAGGGAGAAATGGAGTATATAGTCCAGAATTGAGTTTCCCGACCCAATGTTTATGATTTAAGACACCCCACATGGACCTAACGCAAAGTTTTTGAAAAAATTTGGACATTCCCCATTTCATTTCAATTGAAAAAAAATATTTGAAAATATCCTAAATTTTTTGGAGAAAATCCGGGAACCAATCAGAACTATTGCACAAGTGATATAATATACAGTGAGGAAGAATGATTAAATACACAATCGTTTCATAAAACCGTGTTATTTCATCTATTATCAACTTTTAAGACCAATTTCCGTTCAATTATTGCATTTTTTTTTTATATTTTCTTTTATCTTTAAAATATTTGATACTTCACTTTCATCTTATAACTATTTGTCAAGAGTTATTAACACTTGTATTGGCTCTAAATATACTGAAAGTTCACCATGGCTGCCAAACATAAGAAAATAACTGAAATTTCTTCTGTTTCGAATGTATTTCATGTTTCCCTTCCATCTATATATAAATTTGGCTTGTCTGTTTGTTTGTTTGTATCCAATAAACGTCAAAACGGCTGAACCGATCGGGCCCAAATTTTTTGTGGGACATCTAGGGACCCCAGGGAAGGTTTATGAATGATCAAAATTTCAAATATTTGTCTCCATCAAAATTCGATCTTCATTAAATTTTTGAAAATTTTGAAAATCCACGAAATTTTTTGTGAAAATCCGCGAATTATTTTTGTTTTGTTTTACGATGTACACAAAGAGAACATGTTCACAATTAATTTAGAAGAGGCTAGTATCATTAAACTTTACTACTTCCACCTTAGCTCCTCCCATACATTCTAATTAAACCCCAGGACTCCAGTATTAAACATTAAAGGGACTGTTTTAGGTTATCCTCTAACGTTTATTTGAATATCACCAAGGAAAATTCTTTAATTTGTCAATTTTATTCCTCATCTCGTAACATAATAACATAAAGAAGGGGGGGGGGACACTTGAAAGAATGGCTTTAGTCCCTTTAAGTCCTGGGGGGACTACATAAATGTTCAGTTATTAGATTAAGATTCTATTTTATTAATATTTTAATTTTTTCTTTTTCGCTTTCTATTACTTAGCTTTTTAAATATTATTTTCTTAAGCGTTGACCTATCGTTTTTGACTACATTTAGTTTGATACATTTGTGCCAGTTTTTTTTGGACGGTCAAAATGATAAGATTCGCCTTTCCATTTTTAAAAATCTGTCAAAAAAAATCTTAATCTTTTTGTTAGAAAAAATGGTAGCAGATAAAGTAACATCTAAATGCTATAACTATTATAAGAATAAAGGTGCGCTAAGCCTGAGCTGGGAAATTTTTGAAATCTAGCTAAACCCATGAATTCAGCGGCTGACCTGAAAACCCAATAGATAATCTCCGGACTTAAAGTCTTAAATCCGCCTATAAAAATAGGTCTGCGGTACGGTTAGCCATCAGCATGAAGATCTCCGGAGAAGCGAAGTTAAATCCTAGGCCCTTGCTGTGACTCTAAAAGCCAGATTTAGTTTTGATCAGGATTTAATCCGGGTAAACGCTGAGATCATCTCCGAATCATGGTCAAAGAACCGTTTTTTTAGAAACTCACCACAGATATCAAAACATGTTTTGCCCACTGGTTATTTATTTTAAAGCTGACCTGTAAACTATAGGATAATTTGATCCCCTGCATAAGCTTCATGTGGATAAACCCTGGATACTTCTTCTCTATATCTTGGAGCTCACGATCAGCCGTGTGTGATACACGCTGCTCACAGTCCGTAGACATACAGATCAGGTACGGTACAATCTAGATATCATTTTAAAGAAATATTGCTTTTTGACAATAATAAACATGAAGACTGTTTTTTAAAACATGGAAAAGTTAAAATTAGAAAAAAGGAGAATATTGTTTTAAAAAGTCAAATTTGTATAATAACTTAATGAAGAAATTGGTTTCCAAGACCTACCTGGACAGGATGAACAAGTCCCTGCCCCAGAATTAGTTGAATCACTTTAAGAGCTGCGTGGCGAACTTGTACTGAGGGGTGAATAAAACTTCCTAACACAGACTGAAAATAAAAAATTTAATTTTTTCCTTTATGGGTTTGCCCATTATCCAAACCAACCCTTAGAAAAGTTGCTTCAGTGTCGATCCAATTCTTAAATGTCTTTCATTAAGATAAAAACATGCGGTACCAACCGGGAGTTCTAATCAATTAATAATATTATAAAATACCTTTAAAAATATTTGTATAATTGTGCTCGCCATTCCACTAGAAACATCCCCCATCTCCTTTAAATTCTCTTGTTCAGCGTGTTCTTTCCCTTTAATAGAACATAATTAAAGAGACAGTTCATTAATTTATAATATTCCCACTAGATTCTCCTATTTAATAGAACATAATTAAAGAGACAGTTCATCAATTTATAATATTCCCACTAGATTCTCCTATTTAATAGAACATAATTAAAGAGACAGTTCATCAATTTATAATATTCCCACTAGATTCTCCTATTTCCCATTAAATAATAGAACATAATTAAAGATACAGTTCATCAATTACTAACACAATTTTCCCCTTTTGCAAAACATCTCATTAATTATTATTTGAACTATGAAGACGATTTAGAAACGTAGTAAAAACTTGATATTTCAATCGTATAACAAAACTAACAAATTTCATGAAACTTACAGTTTTTATCTTTCTCCATCATTCTGTTCTCTTCTTCTACTAAATAGGTCTCAATATTGTTGAGCACCTGTAGAACCAATACTGTATCCTAAATACAACAAGTATTAGAAATTATCAAATCTATAGTGTAAAGAGACTGTAAGCGTAATTTCAAGTGACCCTCCATGCAAAGATGGCAATGCCCGATTTGGTTCCCTTTGAACCTGTCTCTGATCAAAAATGTTGAAAATATAATAGTTTTTCAAGGTTTAAAAATGTTTAACTCTGATAACACCTATTTATTTTCCTGCATTAGAAATACACCTGTCACTTTTGCAGAGAAACCACAATCGAAAATAATCAGTTTTTAAAATGATAAACATTAATTTAAAGGTTTTACTTCATCATATACAGAGCTTTTAAGGGTCCTGTTGTAAATCGGCATTGCCATCTTTGCAAGTAGGCTCTTATGAACTTACGCTTTCAGTTTTAAAAGTGAAAACCAGCATTTGCTTTATTGCATAACAAAGAAATATTTTTACTTCATTTCAGAAACTAACACAAAACAAATTCAAAACTTTAAAGTTTAAAGATTTAAATTGTAGAAAATCTTTATAGTTCTGTTGGTTAGTTTTTATGCTTGTTATCTAAAATTTCTACTTGAATTATTCTTATCTCTTGATGGCATATTTTAGCTTGTACACTGTAAACTGTACAGGTGATTAACTCATATATTAACTTGATTGCTCGGGATTTAGAAGAAAAAACTGGTTTCTTTGTAAAAATTGCTTGTAATTAATAACACTCTAAATATTCTTCTCCGTGTTACTATTGTATTATTCATTATGGAGGATGCGACTGAATTAATTAATTCTTCTGTTAAAAAAATCAGTAAATCTCATAGAAATGTTCATAACCTGGATCTGGATCCAATTTGTTCCAGTGCGGATCCCGGATCCAGATCCGAATCAAAATCAAATGGATTCTCAGCACTATTATTTTTGAACGGGAATTCTCCCTGATTTCAACAGAATGATTGTAATAAAACAATTACATAATTTTATGTTTATATTTAGTTGTAACCATGGTCCGCTCTAAAATATAAATTGAATAAATCCATGTAAATGTCAAAAGTACATTTTATGAAAGAAATTAAACCTCAATCTAACATTATGTTAATACATCAGTTTATGTCCGAACAGTTTTAATACAATAATGGAAAATGGCATGTCTGATTCACAACGGAATCCTTCAAATCTTTGTCGAATGAAGGATGCATATTTTGATTATTTTTAATTGTGACCATATTCCGGTGGATTAAGAATGTAAATATATTATTATTATTATTGGTGTAATTATTCCTAACCTGTATTCTATGATGTGAACTGTATTCTGGAGGAGAAAGAATGGATATGTATCTCTGTTTTAATGATTCCTCCAACATAAGATCATAGTGTCTAATACAGATGTTTCCAAGGCACTGAAAAAAAACGATATATGATAAAATATAATTACACTAGGCTTCCACAGGGCTGTGCCTCCATGATCAACTATAACTTATAATTATTGCTCTATCTGCCAAATTTTCTCTTCTTAAATTATCAACCAGTGACAAAATATTTCAGAGGTTTCTCGTTTATTTTTGTGAATTTGGGAAAATTGAAGTTTTTTAAAGCTAATTTTTAAATCCGGACCATACGCAATCCTTCCCTGGGGTCATGTGAGGTCCCACAACGAATTTAGGCCGGATCGGTTCAGTCGTTTATCGGATACTTGTATATATTTTCCAAGACAAACACTTAATGGGTTTGACCCAATCATCAATAGGAATAAAACGGATACTGGAGCATGAATATATGTATATATGTATATAAATATATTTCAGTTTTTAACTTCACATTTTTATCTAAAAAAGAATTATACTAAACATAATGTTTCACGTCTATCATGACGATCCTCAGTAGTTACAATTCTTTGAACAAATATAAATATATATATATATATATAAATATATATATATATCCACTGAAGGTCCTTTTTGTCTCATTAAAACAAAAATCTCCTAAAAATTACGTATTTAACAAATATTTGTTTTTACCTGAAGGATTGCAAGTTGAATCTCTTTCTTCTCATGATCCATGAAATAATAAACTCCGTCAAATACAGCTCTAACAGTTTCCTCCCCGCTCTAAATATTACAAATATAAATATATGTAGATGGAATGAATAGATAAAATAAATAATCAATTGACCGAATGAACAGTTTCATACGTTATGAATGGCCTATGTCAAAGTTAAATTATGGGAAATGAACGGAAAATATATTTTTCAAAAATGTAAATTATGGGAGATGAATGATAAATGAACATAGAAATAAATAATTAATAAATGAAATTGTATGAATAATGAATTAGAAAAAAAATAAAAATGAGTGACTATTAAATAATAAATGAATTTGAATTAATACCAAATAGAAATAGCTGACTAAATAAATAATAAATGGAAATGAATCAACGGTAAATGTAATAAACTAATTACTGGAAATGATTTATTTATAAATAGAATGACTAAAAGCAAGTTTCAAATAATTGTGAAGAATAATGATTAATTAAGGATAGTGAAAAACATAATAATAAAAATGTTCTTTAATTGACAATTTAACAATGAATAAAAAGTCATGAAATAAATAAACGAATGTTTGTAAAAATAATCAAAGATAGCAGAATTAATAATAAATTAGAAAATTAATTTATGTTAATTAATGATTCTAATGAAAATGACAGCAGAAGAAAGAGAAATTTAATTCAAAACCAAACAAAAGGATGAAAAGATTTAGCATGAAGACTGACAAACATTCAGATTTTGAAACAAATGACAAATTCTAGACTTGTGACAACTGACAAAGAATCTGAAAACTGAATTTGAATGGCGGTGGGAACAGTTTAAATAAATTAGATTAACATAAAACAGAAAGAAAATAGTTGTCCCAAGAATTATAGAAACTTAAAAATATCATGGTTATATTCCAAATAATTAACAAACAGTGCAGTGCAGTACCCCACCCCAACCCAAAGACTCCCGAATACTCATTCCAATGAGCTTTGATTTCTGATTTTATTAAAACAATCTACCACCAATTAATTCAAAATGTAAAAATAAAATGTATCTTTCTTAGAATTGGGAAATATTCCCACAACGTTATTAAAACTCTGAACTTACTTAGGATCCTTCTGATGAAGTTTCTTGAAAGCTAGAATAAGACCAAAGTACTTCTTGAAGCACTCCATGATCAGATTAAAGTTCTTTGTCACGTTGTTCACTACGCTACCCAAGCAAGCCAGACACGCAGAAACAACTAAACAGATTTCAGGCCAATTTTAAAATTGATATTTGATTAAAATAAATAATTTGAGTCGAACGAGTACATTTTTTGTGGTAACTCACAAGACCCTAGCTAGGAAGGTTCAATTTAAATCTATTAGGAATCTACCATTAAAACGAAAAAATCCACAACTTTCCATAGAATTATTTTATCAAAAAATATGAAAAAAATGGTTACCGATCAGAACACATTTTAACACCATCTTTTGTGTAAGTACAAATGAAAAACGGGAAAATGTTTCTTTTCTTAAAGCTGTAAATACAATGTCTTTGTTCCGGTCTAATATTTACAACTTTCAACTACAATGTTTCTTGTTTAAAACTGTCAAAAGTTGAGAATGGAAATATATTCGTTTTGAACTCAAAGATACATTATACAATGTATCTTGAAAAAAGTACATTAGGTTTTTAACAATCTGTACATGTGAACGTTAACAATGTGTAGGAATATAAAAAAAAATTGGAAACAAAATATATTAAAATAAAGTTTTTATCAGTGCAACTGATCCGGAACCGGATCAGTTGGCGGATCCGTTGGATCCGCAAGATTTTGGCTTCCTGGATCCGGATCCGGAAAAATATGCGGATCCACGGATCCAAGGGGTGAAATATCAACCAAAAACTGCAAAAAAAACTTTTTTACTCCTAAAACCTAAATCTGAACTTTTGAAAAAAAGGGAGATTAAAAAATTCCTCATTTCTGAATAAGCGAAAAAAATAAAACAAAAAAATTGAAAATTATTTTTTGTAAAAAAAATTCAGTAAATCTTCAAGAAATGACCTGGATCCGGATCCATTTTTTTCCAGTGCGGATCCGCATCAAAATTAAATGGATCCTAAGGTGTGGTTTTTATCAAACCTAAAAACTCGCAATAAACTCGCGGATGACGGTACATGACCAAGCTGTACAAGGATGGGGTGGTAAGTACAATTCTACGTTAGGATAAGAACTCTTCTAAATATATATTCCTACCTGTCTTATCGTGCTGCAGGATAAGTTTTAAACTAGCTTCCTCTAGTTGGGATAAGAATATCTCGCTAGGGTGCTCTATCAACGGAACTACCATCTTCAAGGTCTGCGCTACGTTGGAGATAATCTGGTAGTCACCCTGTTTATACCATTCATTGATACGATGATTAGTAGTTCAGGTTTCAATTAATTAACATTTTACAAAGGCTGCAAAAATCAATATTTCATTTCCCAAGGAAGGATGTTTTACGCATGTATTGCGTCGAAAAGCAACGTTTACTAACCTATTAAATAACACAAGATAAAATATAAGGAAAATTATGCCTGGAACCCAACCCCTCCTTTTTAAAAACAGTAAACTTGGTGAATATCTATCTAACTTGACCTAACCTAACATAGAATAGTGTGGCAGGGAGTCAGTATGTGTAGAATTCTAATATCAATTCAGACCATAAATACTTGAATGGAATGTAACTTTTTTCTTTAACTGGAAAAAAATATTTTAAACTAAATTCTCATGTAAATTGAATTCTAGAAGATGTTCTTCTTTTGCCCTAAAATATGAATTTATTCGGCATAAAATATAAATCTTGGAAAAGGATTTATCTAAGAAACTGGAATAATTCAAATGTTTCCATGGAACAAACTTGGAAAAAGTCTAGAATACTGCATCAAAATATCAAAGGTGCATCATTGCGTTCATGAAAAGTGTATCACTATTAAAGCCTTAATCTCAAAGAATCAACGCATCATCAATCTATGTAGTATGTATCCAATATTCATCCATGTATGTATCAATGTATTCTTGAATGTATCCATGTATCCTTGAATGTATCCATGTATCCATGTCCATGTATCTTTGAATGTATCCATGTATCCATGTATCAATATATCCTTTTATCAATGAATCCCTGAGTAACACATCTAATGTTAAGATATGGTTGCAAGGTTTGAACATGGTTAATTAGAAGTTGAGGTCGTATCTTAGCGAACAGATAAGTGGTCGTTAAGCACGCAACTATACGATGAGATTGTCCAGTCCCGCTCCCCCCATCCTAAATTATATTTAATGTTTAAACATATGAGGCAAGAAAATGTGATGTATTTATGTTTGGTAAAATAATTTCAAAACTCATTTGAACAAACATCTTAATACTGTGTAGATGGGAGAAGTTTGTTGTTAATAGAATTTATCTCTATGTAAAACCCAGTGGTCAAGCAAATCAAATGAAATCAGTGGCCGAATTTTAAAGAATTTGAGCGGCGGTTTAAATTTAAGCCGCGGTTTAAATATGGTTGGTTCAACTTAAAATTGTATCAAATGTTTCAAGATTCAAGCCGGCGCTAAATTTAAACCGGGTTTTGGCGGATTTTGGTGGATTTAAACCGCGGCTCAAATTCTTTAAATTCCATCTCAGGAGGGCTAATTCTATCAAACAAACAAAACCAAAATAAATAAAACAAACAAAATATTTAAAAAATCTGACCCTAAAAATATTAGCAGCAAAAATGAAAAGTTTCAAGTAACAAAAACTTAAATTTTGAGGAAAACATATCTTATGAATTATACAGGTAAAAATACTAGGGACTTTTTAGTGTTGTAAATCCACCAATTTAAACACAAAAAATATCGAAAAGTTTGTTTATTAGAATGAAAAAATGGAGGAATAAAATTCAAAGCTTAAAATTGTTGATAGAAAAAACCTTGTTATATCAATTATATAATATAAGAGTAATTTATACAATATATCTATTAATATAATTCTGACTGGAGCAAGGATATGAGATGAATATTTAGTATTGCTGTAGTCTGTTACTGTCAATTAAATACTCAAGACATCTACAATCATATGCTTATCAAGCCATGTCCCTTCCATCTCCCTTCCATCTCCCATCCCATCCCATCCCATCCCATCCCATCCCATCCCATCCCATCCCATCCCATCCCATCCCAACTAATCTAACCAACCTGTGTAACTTCTTCAGATTTAAGAACAGTCTCAACTAGACAATCAACTATCTGTTGACAGGCCAGGACGAGCTGTTTAGGAGGTTCCTTTACAACCTTGGTAGCATCATCCTTATCCTCCTTCGGTTTAAACAGAGTCTGGAGAAGCTGTTCGAACCATTCTAGTCCTGTCTCCCGACACGATACAACCACATCGGTAATATTCTGCGCTTTCGTCACAAGCAGATGTTTGTCCGACTCTGTCCGACGGCGGTCACTAAGCGGTGCAAACCACATGTTTTGAAAGACCTCCATGACAAGCTTGCGGATTCCCTCCTCGTCATTGATGCGTCGGATCATCTTGACGCAGATGGCGGGGATGCGGGGGTAGTCCGGGAACTCGATACAGATATCCTTCAAGATCTTTATCACTCGTTTGCGAACACTTACACCTGTATCCTGGAATAGAAAGATGGTTAAATTAACCAATATAAATCTGACGTGAATTTCTCGGTAGAAAGAAATCTTTTCAAGCATCATTTTTTTAAAGATCAGGAATATCAGGAAAAAGATCTGAAAGCTCCCCCATTTTGGAGAACCCAGACCGCCATCGGGTGGACACCCAATACATAATACATAGATATATTGAGAATAACAAACATATTTTGAATTTCTACTATGTAACCAAGTTAATTGGCTTCTCTCTTACAAGTACCTTAAATCTAACTAAAAACTCGATAGCAAAGTGACATAAGTTTGACCTTTTCTTTCTGTGACCTGACTTGACCCTTCATGCGGAATTTAGAAAAATAGCATTTTCGATGCACACAAGTACCCGTTATCCATATTTGTGAATAACAATAAGGAAAATATCGTAAAATGTATTTTGTTGCAATAGAGAAGCCACAATTATTTTAAACTCAATTTTCCGAGAGAAAAAGATGGATATCTCTTAGTCCGACAAAGGTTTAAAGGGTTCTGTCGAAAATCGGACACCCCTACAAATGCAGGGTTACTTGAAAGTGCGTCTCCGGTCGCTTTTATTGATATTTACCATGATTCGTTGTGAAAGCATGTCATAATATTTATCTATGAGCTCGGCTTTATGCAGGATAAATTTTCCCACTAGATCCACGGCAGCTTCACGCACCATTGTAGCGGCGTCCAGGAAACTTAACAGTTAGAAAAGTTAGTTAAAATATAATTTTATATTTTATTTTAAACATTTTTATAAATCAATTTTAATCTTTAAAAGCATTTATTACGACAAATTAAGTTAAAAATTTCAAGGGTGTAATGTAATTGTATATAGATATATCTAACTTTATTTTACTAAGAGTTGTCCCCCCCCCCTTTAGGATGTTTCCCGTGATAATTACTTATTAAATGAGTTTCTTTTTTAAATGTTATCAAACTTGAGTGTGTTTAGCTAGTGAGGAAAACCTGTAGGAAAAAGTCCTTCTCAGTTATTACTTCTTAATGTATTTCCCAATTATCTTTTTTTTTCACTTTCCTAGGACCAGGTTTGATGAATAGCGAGACATAGTTGAACCGAATAGATTAAGTTGAACCACTAAACTTGTGCGCCGGTTCAAGCTGAAGAGTAGTGGTTAAACTTAGTCTCGCTATTCGCTAAATCTCGTCTCTGTTGCTTGTAATTATCTTGATTTTTGTTTAAGACTACTTCAAATATAGGAGAGAAATAAAACAACTCNTGCTCTGCTGCCCACCTGTAGTTTATTGCTTGTTGCATATCGTCTCTACTGAGTACAGTTGGATCCTCTTGAACAACCGACGCCAAGCATTTCAGCGCCTTCGACCTCACCTAGAAGAACAGAAATTGGTGAACTTGGAAATGCGCGAAATCACAAAAGTGCCGCCTTCCCTCATCAAGAAAAATAAACAAAAAACAATAACAATAAACATGACTGTAAAAATAATTTCACGTGACCCTCCAATTAAAGAATGTCACGTCTGATTTACAACAATTATGAATAAACCTTTCAACACGTTTCAAGACAAAAATACTTGCCGTATTGTTGCTCAAATTAAAGTTTTAAGGGTACTATTGTAAATCGACGTGCGCGCCACTCTGTAAATGAGTCGGTTGAAATTACGCTCCTTTATATATTATTATTTAATATAAAATCTACCTGAATACTTGTCTCCGAGAGAACACTGAGAATTTGATGAAGGTAAATATCAAAACTATTGAAAAAAGGACGTTTTGAGGACAAGTATTTGACTATAAGAGTTGCACTGGTCGAGTCTATATGCGAGGACAAGCTGTGTCCCCGTTTCCCCGGCTTCGAGGTGTCTCCGAACGGAAGAATCTTGGAAACGAGAAAGTTCTTTCTGTCCTCCGTGAGTCGGAAGACCTCTGCAAGTTTTGGATTGTTCTTGGGGTCAACTTCCTCTGGTTCACTTGCCTCGCTTGATTCACTTTCACTCTCAACCTTCCTCCGACTACTGCAATAAAAGGAAAGATTTAGAGATAAATAAAAAGGCAGAAAGATCTTGTGTTATGCTAAATTCAGATTTCAAGTGACAAAAAATTCGAAAACTAAATACGTTCGACTTACACGAATTATAATAATTATTGAGTAGAAATTATTAAAACCCTTGTAATTATATTTCTACCTTCTGTGTGAAGTATTCTTGTCTCTCTTGTGTTTAATTTTCTTCTTTGGTTGGTCCACTCCTTTCTGTCTGCGGATCTCAGCAGTTGCATCTCGAAACCTGAAAATGGTTTAATAAAAAACAACCCTTAATAATTTTAGTAAACTGAATTTTAAAAAAAGTTTAAATATTGTCAGAATCCTTGAGAGGATAGAGAAAAGTTAATTTCTAACTCAATTGTCTGAAAATCTTGAGAAAATTTCCAAATCCCTGATAGATAACTAAGTTATTGAAAATCACGCAACCTCTCCGTCCAATTTCACAGAGCAAATAAAACACGGAACCTCTCCGTCCAATTTCACAGAAGAGCAAATAAAACACGGAACCTCGAAGAAACTTGCATTGATCGAATAAGATCAACAATGTTGTTTTGGAATAGATATCGTATGATCGCAACATCAAATCAAATCAAATCAAATCAGAGCTTTTCGGACATTCTTCTAACCACAGATGACCAGAGAAAATGATGGACAGTTGATGCCCCCCTCCCCCCCCTTCTCTATACGTACAATAGGGAATTTAAAACCATTTTAAAAAATAATTCAGTTCAAAAAAACGCTCCGTTAACGAAGTAACCATGTCAAGAATAACACACGAAACTAATTACACAAAAAGAATACATTTTTATTTAGGGGTGTATGCATTCTGTATATTTACAGAATTATCGACTTTTGAAGATCTGGGGAGATGTAAATTTTAGCATGCAAAGGTAAGTTTACATATTTTTTGCCCACAATTTTTTTTAGCTACCCCTAAAAATCATTTTTCCAATTCTGCAAATAAAACCATAAAAAAACACAAGAGGGGGGGGGGGTGATTTTTCAGGAAAATTCACCTCTGTTCATATTCCATACAAGACACGAGTAACCTAGGACGAGCATTATAGGAAAGTTTTGTGGTTATAAATTTTTGCCGAACCAGTTGCTAGCCACGATAAGCCTTGGAAGCTTCTGGATGCTTTTTTCAAACAAAACTCTGTTCATTGAACAGGATAGAATAATACTATGTTACTTCTGTAGTATCAGTTCTATAAAAAATCATGGAACCTCCAGAACGAATACGAATTACAACTTTGAAACCTCTCAGTATTAACAAAGATTAGAAAAAACTTTTAAATCAGGAATTTTTTTTAAATCCCTCTAAATGTGAAATCCAAGAATATGGATAAACCACAAAACCTACACATAATAAAAACCATAAAGCCTCTTAAGATAAATCCCAAGAATAGGAATAAAAACCACGAAACCTCTACAAATAAAACCCAAGAGTAGGAATAGAAACAACATAACCTCTAAATAGAAACCCAAGAATAGGAATAAATTATATGAAATCTATACAATTACAACCCAAGAATAGGAATAAAAATCACGAAACCTCTACAAATAAACCCAAGAATAGGAATAAAACCATGAAACCTCTACATTCTACAAAAAAAGAATAGGAATAAAAACCACGAAACCTCTACAAATAAAACCCAAGAGTAGGAATAGAAACCACATAAAATCTTAATAAAAACCCAAGAATAGGAATAAAATATATGAAACCTATACAATTAAAACCCAAGAATAGGAATAAAAATCACGAAACCTCTACAAATAAAAAGAGTATGAATAGAAACCACATAACCTCTAAATAGAAACCCAAGAATAGGAATAAAATATATGAAACCTATAAAAATTAAAACCCAAGAATAGGAATAGAAATCACGAAACCACTACAAAATTAACCACACAATGGAATAAAAACTATAAATCATGATAAATTTATAACTTGAATTTTTTTAAACTTGTTAATAAATACTAAATTTAGATTTATCGGTTCAAAAACTACGAAATACTTCGCACCGAGTACTTACCATTGACTGATGTAGAAGTGCCTACTGGACAACGTATTGGGGTCCTCCTCCCCCCCGGACACAGTCAAGTAGTCCAAGAGGACCCGCTGCAGGAACCTTGTCCTCTCTTCCTCGTCCTCAAGCTTTTCAAACTCTGTGTCCTCAGTCCCCTCATCAGCCTCGGCGTCCTTGAACAAAGGAAGGTAATATTTTTCTTCAAAAACCTATTTCATTTTTCTAAGTTATATCATATTAATTTACTACGTAGTACGTAACTTTCAAATCAGGTTAGAGTCTACATAAGTGTGAAAATGGACATGAATCTGTTCTGATCAGCCACAATTTAACATTTTGTTCAGAATAATTTTCTCGACTAATTAAAGTTATATTTCGCCTTAAAAAATTGCGGATTTAAAATTTCGATAGAACAATTTCTCAAACATGCTTCCGTAAAAATCCCATGCCATCCCATCCCATCCCATCCCATCCCATCCCATCCCATCACATCAAATCCCATCACATCACATCCCTGCCCTAGTAATACCTTGACAGCTTTGATGATTGTATCGATGGTATCCTGCTTAAGCTTGGATTGAACTGCGTCTCTCCGAAGTCTGCTTGCCACAAGACCAAGGTAATCCAGAGAACTAATTCGGAGGGACACTTCAGTACCTAGTTTAGTACAGTTAAGTACAGTTTAGTATATAGTTTATACAGTACAGCGTGTAAATTTATGTACAGTATAGTTAAAGTCGGTGGTCAGGATCTGTCTTAACAAAATGGATTCGAAAAATTTATTTGATTCAGAAATATTGTGTAACATTTGTAACGTAGCCCCCCCCCCCAGTCACAAAGTTTAAGATAAAACCCCTCCCTGGACAAAGTCCTGTATTGGATACTGAAACTAAATCTATATTTTTTTAAAGTTTTTTTTACAAATCTTTGGGTCGATTTCTTTCGTATCAATCGACTTGCAGATTCCGACACTTGATTTATTTATCTAAATTATAAAGTAGTAATCTCTGTTTGATTGCTTGTATATCCGATTTATTTATCTAAATTATAAAGTGGTAATCACTGTTTGATTGCTTATATATCCGATTATGTAGGTCTTGTTCTTAGCTTGGTTTAACAATTCCAAGTAAGTGAGAAATTAGGTTCTAGGCAATGCTGTGTTCTCGAACTAATATTATAAGTATTACATTTGTCGAAAATATAAAAATTAAATTAAAATAAAATAATCTGAGAAATGATATTGAAACATTAATGACAGTGAGAATGGTTTCTATTGCTTTTAGACGGAATAAAAATGAAATTACATCTGTTCAATGTCAGAAGAGAGGAATTTCAGAAGAATTTAGGAAGGATCAATTTTGAAATTATGAAAAATGCAGTGACTATATGTACTCTGCGTACATATAGAAACCAGTTCTCTCTGGACGGAATTTGTAAACAAGAATAGATGCATCAGTGTTCGTTTAGTATCCGAGAAAGTTAGAAGCATTAAATTTTGATAATTTTGATAATTCACATAATAGTTCCCTATCAGAATATTTCATTGATTTTTTATGTGAAAGATGGATACCATGCCAGGCTTCAACATACCGTCTTGTGTTTACATTACCGCCCAGAAACAGTACACTGCAGTACAAAAGATGCGTACACCTCTGGAATAACTTTCCTTGCATCATAACCTTGAAAAAATGTATCCAGAGCTGAAAACTTTAGAATGGGATATCCTTAATTCCGATCGGTTAATTAATCTGGAGATTTATCCTTGAGGAAAGTGAGCACTATTTTTTCGCGATAAAGAAAAAGAGTGGGGATCAAGCATTAATCCCTATATCCACCATTTAAAAGTTCCCAGCTCTGGTTGTAAACGTATCTTCAAGATTTACTGATTTTTGCTTTAGCTGAAGCTTTTGAGATTTGTGTTTTGAGAGTAGAAACTATATTTGCCCCTTGGATTCGGATATATTTGCGGATCCGGATCCTAAGCACTGGAAATATTTCCGTCGAAATAGTTTTCAGGGAAAAACGTACCTTTGCTCGCAAACTGTGACACCAGTAGTTTACCCAGTAAAGAGAGAAGTAGCTCGGCGGCCGGCCATTCTGGCGTGTTGACCGTCACAAGCAAGTCCTGTAGAAAGTTCTCGAACAGCGGCCGGAAATCCGTTTCCTCACTTTTACTCCCGCATTTCTTGAGAAAGACTGAAAGGAATTGAACAGCGGTGGCCATAGCGTTCTCATAACGATGGTTGATCAAGACATCTCGGTCCATTCCAGCCTCGTTGTCTGTCTCATGGACCTCATCCTTAACCTGTACACATATTTCATAAAATTGAAACATAAATCATTTCTTTTCATTAAATATTTACATTGACCTGTCCTGTCCTGTCCTGTCCTGTCCTGTCCTGTCCTGTCCTGTCCTGTCCTGTCCTTTTCCTGTACTCTCCTGTCCTGTCCTGTCCGTACTAGATAATTTTAACAAGGATTAAAATTTGTTGATTTGATGTTGATTCAAAACTCAAAAACATATTTTAAACTTGCGTCATCTGAATCCCTGATTTTTGCAGAATCAATGCATCGATTAATAATTTGAAAGTAAAGCTTAAAATAATTACAGGGTGGCCAAAACTTTTTTGAACACATCCGTACAAAAATCCGTACATTTTCAGAAGAAATCCGTACAATCCGTACAATTTTCGAAAAACAATTCGTACAATTTTTTTTTAAAAATCCGTACAATCCGTACATTTTTATAAACCAATCCGTACATTTTTTTAAAATCCGTAAATTTTTTTTTAAAAATCTGTAAAATCAGTACAATTTTCTAAAAAAAATCCCATTTTTGAAAAAAACAATAAAATTCAATTTTTCATTCATTGTCTTATGTGTTCAGTTCATGTAAGAGGGTTTAAACTTCTTCAGCAAGAATCAATCTGTAAAAAATTGGCTTCATACATATATACAAACTAAATACTGGGTACATGATACTAGGTGCATGATACTGGATACTGGATACATGATACAGGGTACATGATACAGGATACAGGATACAGGATACTGGATACTGGGTACATGATACTGGGTACATGATACTGGGTACATGATACTGGGTACATGATACTGGGTACATGATACTGGGTACATGATACTGGGTACATGATACTGGGTACATGATACTGGGTACATGATACTGGGTACATGATACTGGGTACATGATACTGGGTACATGATACTGGGTACATGATACTGGGTACATGATACTGGGTACATGATACTGGGTACATGATACTGGGTACATGATACTGGGTACATGATACTGGGTACATGATACTGGGTACATGATACTGGGTACATGATACTGGGTACATGATACTGGGTACATGATACTGGGTACATGATACTGGGTACAGGATACTGGGTACAGGATACTGGGTACAGGATACTGGGTACAGGATACTGGGTACAGGATACTGGGTACAGGATACTGGGTACAGGATACTGGGTACAGGATACTGGGTACAGGATACTGGGTACAGGATACTGGGTACAGGATACTGGGTACAGGATACTGGGCACAGGATACTGGGTACAGGATACTGGGTACAGGACAGGATACTGGGAACAGGATACTGGGTACAGGATACTGGGTACAGGATACTGGAACATCTTCTTGAATAAGCAATCAAATAAGTACTTACGGAACATATTCTCAAATAAACACTTCTTGGACATATCTCGAAAATTATGAATGAATTTTGATTGTCAATTGAAACATTAATCAATCCAATATTATTAATCAATCTAATATTATTTAGACTGCAGGAAATAAGTTACAACTAACTTCATTTTGACGAGAATTTTTTTTATTTATGAAAAATTTGCTGAAATGAGTGAAAATTAAAAAAAACGGTGTATTTTCCAGGATAAAAATCCGTACAATCCGTACAATTTGAAAACAAATCCGTACAATCCGTACAATTTTAGGGTTAAAAAAAATCAATCCGTACATTTTGGCCTCCCTGTAATTTCTTTACCTTGGAATTTTTGCCCCGACCTAGACGATTTGGAAGAACCACCACGCACTGAATCAGCTGCAGAACAAGAGCAGTTAACATCTGTATATTCTCGTTCTTGTTCAGTCGAAACGTTCGCAGCGAATTCTTGCTCGAAGGAAGACGAGCAATTGAGGCGAGAATATCGTCGAGGATTAGTTTTCGATGCATTTCATACTTCGAGAATACACCTAAGATAGTAAACATTGGAGTTAATTGAGTAAATAGTTTCTAAAATACACGACAATTGTTCATTGAGTACACAATACAGGTATATAAAGTACACGATAATTGTTCATTGAGTACACAATACAATTATATAAAGTACACGATAATTGTTCATTGAGTACACTAAAAATGTTTATCGAGTACACGATACAGGTATATAGAGTAAACGATACAGAGTTTCATTAAGTAGTTTATAGGTTCAATGAGTACAGTATAAGGTTCAAAGAGTAAGACATGTTCATTGAGTACACTACAAAGGTAAATTGAGTTCACTAGAAAGGTTCATTGAGTACAAGAGAGATTCATTGAGTACTAGACAGGTTCAATGAGTTTAATAAACAGGTTCAAAGAGTACAGGTACAGTTTCAAAGAACACAGTTTACAGGTTCAAAGAGTGTATACAGGTTCATAAAGAACACTAGACAAGTTCATTAAGTACACTAGACATTGAATACCGTACAGGTTCAGAGAGTTCACAGATTTCAAGATTTAATTAATAAAACTTAGGAAACAGGTTGTAAAAATTCGGTGTAAAAGTTAATTCAGAAAAGTTCAGAGAATAACTTTACAAGCTTAAATGAGTACAGAATACAAGTACAGATTAGAAGTACAGAAAGTAGAAAAAAGTATAGAAAGTAGTTCACTGAGTTCAAAGTCGAAGTAAAATGTATAAACCTGTAACAAGCTTGAGCGCTGACAGCTGTAGCTCTGGAATATTCTCCACAAAGAAAGGAGCAACTCCTGAAATAATTTGATTCAAGCGACTGTCCTTAAAATTTCAAGTACCGATTCACAACGGTACCAGCTTGAACCCTGTCTCTAATCAATAATGTGGAGGATATCTCTGTGTGTGAACTTTTGCCAATTTCCTCCTTAGTTTAAACAGCAGAAATGCGCTCGTAAATTTGCAGAGATTTTAGAAATCTTAATTATTATTGATTAGGCAACACTTGTATCGTTGTATATGGAATGTTAATTATCTATTCCCATAAATAAAATCTCAAAATACATTATCTCAATTATCTGAAATTTCCTTAAAATTGTGATAGCTCCATAAATACCGAAATGGAGGGAGATTCCAAAGTTCCGAGAATTTAAAAACTGGTATTTAATTATTTGCTTCTCGATCTGTAGTATTGAATTTCAGACATGCTAATGCAACAAATTGATTCACTTTTTTAATTCAGGGGGGGGGGGTGTTTAAGAAAACCAAAGTTTAACTAGATCAGTGTTTTTAAGAAAGAATCAAGTTAAGAATGTTTTAGTAGAAAATAATTGCAAATATTGAAAAACCATTTATCAACTTCATAGATTTCTAGCAATTAATTCAATAAAATGGTTAAAAAAATAACTTTTCCTTAACGACGTAAGATTTTAATCAATGGTTTCAAATTCTAGTCCAGCTTTATTTAGTGTTGATAATTTTTATGGAATCAAGACATGATAAAAATAATCATGTTTTGATAAATTAAACAGGATGTTTTGAGACATATCTAAACTGATCATGGAATTTGGATTAAAGTCTTGTATTTAATATACAAATCATGAAAACCTAATTCAGATCGCACATTTTTTTTAAATTTGTTAAATTTTAAAATAAAATATTTTTCCTACCTACAGTTGATAAATGGAGAACAGTTGTATCTGTGAGCAACTGAAACTGTAGTAATTCCGCCAACAAAGAACATATCTCGTGACACTTGCTGTACAACTTTGTGATATTCTTGTCCCTCACAGTGTGATGCTGATTCCTCTTCTTCTTCATACTCCCTGTATACCCCTCCTTGTGTTTGCTCATCTCTCTGTACACTGGGTCATAGCTCGGATAGATTGTGTTCTGGAGTTGGTACCTCACAAACAACGTAATCTTGTCGATCACGTCGTCGATGTACACCCGCTTGTTCATGTTTTTACTTGTCATAATATGCATAGCACACATTGCACAATCCGCAGCGCGGCTTACACGCTCCGAGGCTAGTTCAAGGAAAAGTTTATCATCATCCTCATCCTCGTCCTCAGCGAGGCCGAGGGGGGACACTTTGCTCCCGTCCCTCACGTTCCATTGGAGGATGTTCAGGAGTTTAACCAGCCGCTCTGTGGGGACGCTCTCCATGGCCTCCATGGACTTGAGCTTGGCGGCCTCGTTGGCAAGGTCCTGGGCCTGATATTTAGGGATGAGGATCTCAGGGGGTATCTCGGTGTCCTCGTTCTCCTCAAGCTCTTTAATATTCACCTGAAAATATTATTTGTTAAAAGATAATTTTGTCTAATTTGTATGATTAAGTTTAAGTCGGACAAGACGGGGGACGGGGATATGTTAAGACAATTCCAGTTAATTAATTTGCTAGTTGTATCGTACATTCTCTGTTACATAAAACATAATTTACGTCACTTAGCTCCGAAACAGCAGACATTTTTAGATATTAGATTATTTCCACTTTCTTCAACGCCAAAATACGCACATAATACTCGTAAAACCTAGTATTTTCTGCATGCAAATATTTATATATTAGCAACATACAATTTTTTAAAATGATTTCTTGATTTTAAATTTATTGATAAGTCCTGGAAATCGCAGTTTATGGCTGTAACACGATCCGATAAGATTTTATGAATATGAATTTGTCTATAAATAAAACAAAGTTTGGAAATATATTAATCATATTTTACCTCTTCGGAATTGTCAAAAATTGACTCGAGGGTTCGATTAAACTTCTGATAATTGCTGGACTCCATTAGCGTCTCTGGATCAATCTTTTGTGTTCGTGCAACAGGTTTTCGTTCGATCTTCCGACTGGTTGTTTTCGGGACAAAATTGTCCAGATCCGGAGGCGGCGATCTTTCATGCTTCCTTCGTCTCTTCAACCAGTTATTTTCATCATCGTCATCCTCGTGTTTCCGTTTCCGGTCTGATGAATCCTCGTCCGGGTCAAAATCCTCGTCCTTGACTTTTTTTCGTTCATCCCGTCGTTTTTTTCTCTCGTTGTCTCTCTCTTTCTCTGTATGCTTGAAAAATTTAGATTTCTTCTTATTGTCTTCTTCCTCCTCCTCCTCCTCCGACTCACTAGGTTCCACATACTTCTTGTCTCGCTGCGCTCGCGGACTGTAGCTGTTATAGCTGACTCCAGGTATAGGATCCTTAAGATTCTCCAGCTTCTTCTTCATCAGCTCCCGGTCCTCCCTGGAGAGCCCGAGGTTGATCTTAGGCATCTTGAGGGACGGGGCCGAGGCCTTGGAGACAGGGCTACGCTGATCACTGGAGCTGGTGCCGAGGCCATTCTGAGGATGCGAGGTGGATCCAGCAGCATTCTGAAATTAATTATTTCAACTAATATCTATACAAATAATAGTAATCTTTGTATGTTTGTTTGTCCGATCATAACTCAGGAACCCCTTGACCGATTTCCCTCAAAATTTGATTATGGAACTCGGTAGAACCACGGGAATGTTCCTATCTTAGATTAAAAGTCCAAGTTAGGCGGGTTGACGTTTAAAAAAGAAACTCAAGGGCAAAGCTGGGTTCCCAAGCTCGTAAACAAGATCGACCACTTAATCAGAAAAAAAAATCAATTATCTAATATTCCCCTGCTCAAAACATCTTCAATAAAAATTCTCAAAATCAAAAAAATGGGTCATGACTGAAGAAGCCTCTACCTTCTGGACTATCTGATGTAGAAGACCGAAAGCTGCAGGGTTTAGGTTGAAGATGGACTGGGTGAGGGGGGTCGAGGGAAGATCGTCCCCCCTGAACTGTTCCCTGAGTTCCAAGTATTCAACATTGGAGGAACTGAGGGCGTGTGCCAACCTAGAGAAAATAACCTACTAAGTGCCATCATAGTAAATGGGGTTTAGGTTTGCCCTTTATCTATAATATATATATATTTATATAAAACGTTGTTATCGCTGTTTGTCTGTTTGTTTGTTTGTTGGACCGATATGCTTCAAATTTTTACTAGGGAACTCGGGAGAGCCAAGGGAATATTTTTAGCTCGACTTTGAGAGCCTGAGTTGAAAAAATCGAATTTTAAAGCAAAAATTTAGTTTCCCTGTAAATTTAACCAAGTGCAGGTATACGGCGGGAGTATCTATGCTGCGCCTGGTTCCCAAGCTAGTTTTTATATAGTTCTAATCTTTAATGGAGTGTGGACATATTATTAAGTTTCCCTTTAATTAATTGGCATGTCCAAGTCTCAACGGTAGCCTGTATAACATTTATCTGTTGTGTGCTAGTGTCGTCATTTTACTCATTTAAAAAGTGATTAATTCTGACAATTTCCTTCATTTTATCCGCAGCATGAATATTGAATACACAAATCACTTAAAGAGAATATCTAAGTATTAGATGAAAAAATAAGGAAATCTCACTCATCATTGATCAGAGTACGGATTAAAGAATATTGTTTTGCATTGTATTGTATGTACTTGTACGGTTTAAAGAATATTGTATTGTATTGTATTGTATTGTATGTACTTGTACGGTTTAAAGAATATTGTATTGTATTGTATGTACTTGTAATATTGTTAATCGTCACTGCCACTTTATAAATGAATCTAACAACTTAAAATTACTACTACAGCCCCTAAAATTCTAGACGACATTTTCACCATTTTCTTACGGCTTTAATGTAGAAATTTAGGAGTTTTGTTTAAAAAAAAAACCAAGTGAAAATCAATTGGAAAAAGGATAACATTTATTTTTATATACCGATTATTCAAAACAAAAAAATAAACTTTTTTTACAATTTAAAAAATACTTACTGGTTTGCGAGATTTGCGTCATTGCTCAACAATACATGTGATCCTTCCTCTCTTAATCTAAAAAAAGATAAAAATTAATTGTAAAATGCAAATAAAAAATATAATAAGATAAGATTTAAAATGTACTCCTATGTTTAATTCAATTTAAATAAATTTATAATCATTTTTTAAATTAATATTTATAAGAAACGAACATAAAAAATATAGAACCTAAATACCTTAAATCAAATTAAAAATACTAGTTTTCTTCTTAAAAAAAGAACAATTTCAAAAATTCGAAAACCGTTTCTTAAAACTTACCCTGCATTATAGAAGATTGTATTATTAACGTTTGTTGCTGTATTAGCGGGACCGGGCAATGGTAACTCAGGCAACACTGAAACAAAATTTAAATAAAAACGTTAATTTTTTTTGTTTGCAAGAAAATTGAAACAATTATTTGCTTTAGTACTTTCTCCGAAGTAATTTGATATCAAAACATGTTACGCATCGTCAGCTGTTAAAATTTTGAAGTTTATCAGCTGATATTTGCGTATACGCCGGCCTGGAAGTAGCGTCATAACAAACTATGTGATTGGTCGATTGATTCGAGTTTCCTGCACTCTCATTGGTCGGAGAAATGACGGGCCTAGTTACAGATTCCCCTGCTAGGCAGCGACACCAGCACAGAATTTGGCGGAATTATATCGTCAACAGAAAAATACGCAAATCTGACAGCCGTAAACAGGTCGACAGAAAGGGCAGAACTCTTCTGATTTTTTTTTGGTGCAAAAAGAAAATATTACAAAACGTGTAAAATCTTTCTATCACTAAAAAATGTGTGTATATTTATTAACTTAAATTATTTTGTTTTTTAAATATTTTTTTTATTATTTACAGCATGTAACTTCTTGAACTTAAACATTACAAATAAACAAAAAATAAACTATAGTATTTCTATTTCTACCTCAGAACTAAGTTTGTTAAGATAAAAATATTTTCAGAAATTGATTATAATTTTTGAAGTTTGGGTATATACCAATTTATGTCAATGTAAAACATTTGCAAACGCATGATACACAATACAAAGAAATATATAGTAAGTTTTATTAAATTTTACTTAACTTATTTAATAGGAGGTTGATAAAGTTATTTTATCACCCTACAACGGCACATATTGGGTTTGATGAATTCCCTCAAAATTTAATAAAATGTTTTATTCAATTTTGATGGAATTTATCACACCTAATATTTCCCGTTGTAGGGTGATTAAGTAACTCAGGGCAAAAAGGTAACTTTTTCACCCTGCTATTAAAATTTCAAATTTCATACCTAATTTGTCCCATAAGTTACTTAATCACCCTACAACAGGGTGATTAAGTAACTTTATCGACCTGCTTTTAAATAACTTGAGTAAAACTGAATAAAACTATATTTGTTATTGAAATGGGTATCATGCGTGCAAAAAAGTTTTTGCCGGGATGTTTAATTTTTCTAGTATGTTTAAGATCAAAAAAATTATTTCGATTTTATAAAATCAAAATTATCAATAACAAGGTAAAATAATGTATTTAAAATATTAATATTTGTAATTTTTATAGATTTCAATTCATTATTTGTTCAAAACAGGGTTCCGTTTTTACACATCCCAGTCATACTTATTTATTTTCTCAATTGAGCGAATAAAACCCTAATTATTTGGAAATTCATGAATATATACACCCCTGTTGCAAATGCTCAGCGAGTTGGAATGTGCAAGAAGCTAAGAGAATAGAATATATTAGAGTGGAATTTAAACAATCCCTCGGTATGAAATTTGTCAGTCCCTTTTAGTTTAAAATGTACAATTCATGTAAATGTTCACAAATTATACGCAGTACATCACACTAATACAGCACGATCCCTGGACATATCTATTCCAATTTCTTTGTTTTATAAAGTTGTTAAATAACTTAAAACGTGTGTATTTGCTATAGGTGAATTAAACATTAAAATGTAAAAATCGTCGTTTGTAAAGTGAATTTAATAAGAAAACTACTCTATAAAATGATGTTCCAGGGCCCAAAAGGTTATATAGCACAAATGTATGAAGTACACATACAGTATGGAAACAATACAACAAAATGGCCGTTTTACACTTTTTTCGAGTAAATTCCACTCTAATATATTATATTCTCTTCGTCAATAAGTACCTATAGTGTATTTGAATCGAAAATTTGAAATTTAAGAAAAAAGAAAATTTGAAATATGAAGATTGATAACAGTTTCGTGGTAAAAATGTAAAATATCAGTGTTACAAATGAGAGCATATCAATGCTAAATTTGTATGCCTCAGTGCATTGTAACCAAAGTGTTAGTTTTAAAATAAATATATGGAAAATAAATAAACGGGGAGGGGACATTCTCTCTATCTCCCAATCTTCCTGACAGAAACAATCTCAAGAACTGTCGAGGGTCAACCCAGACCGAAATATATTTTCAATAAATATGGAACTAACATCTACTTTTTTACTCTACAGAGGATTGGTCCATCACCATCAACGAATTTTAAATCTATCGGACTTAAAGTGACCTTCCATGCAAACATGGGAATTAGGAATGCACAATTTACAATGATACCTTTTTAAGTTGTAATCTTTCCAGGTATTTAGAATATAAAGTTGTTCTTCTAACAAGGTAAAGGAATAAATTCTCATAATTTTTCCATTGCTGATCTTCAGCACAAAATGAGCAAGTCAGTTTAGTAGAGCTGATACAAGTAGAAATCAGTAAAACAAAATCATGGCTTTCTGATTCATACTTGATCAGACAGTCACTTGAAATTACGCTTTCAGTCCCTTTAAATTAAATATTTATTTAAATGTTGGACCACTGATTTTATGTTATTTGTTGGGAGCTTCTGTTGACGTGAGGAAACTAAAGTTTGCATCGGCACTCGGATAATTTGATCACAACTTGAGATTTTCTAAACATTTTATTTTAAGAGACTATGTTTACAAGATTGCTGGAAATAAGTTTAGCTTTGTTGTTGATTTCATTGCATTTATACATTTTGTAACAATTAATTGACAGTAAAACTTTTCGCAGATTTTCAACATTTTAAAAATCTACATTTTTTTAAAAGAAATTTTTTTAATTCGACCAACCATACACTTGAGCCTTTTGCACACCCCTGTAATACTTAGGATTTGTGGATAACCATTATTTTTTCGTAACCCCCCCCCCCATCCCTCTTCAATGTCTAGTTTGTCTTTTTATTTGAAAAGTTTTTTTTGTAATAATTTCTATATAACTATTGGTCAAACCTGATGATGTAAAAAAAACCATCGAAATATATTTCCTACTTTGAAGCTGTGCGTTAGAGAACACTACAGATAGAGAACACTACAGATAGAGAACACTACAGATAGAGAACACTTTTAACCAATTCGGATTTTTACAGTTGATTGGAGAAATGTCTGTCTTATTCAGAACAATGTCAATTTAAATTTAAACAATGAAAAATGTGAAATATAATCTTTTTAAGTTTTTTTTTTAAGTTTTAAGAGAACGTTGAAGGGATCGGACTGTTGTCATTTCCAGTGACCTTACATTTAAACAAGGGGCAGGCTTGATTCACATCAGTAACTTTTACCTCGTCAATAATGTGAAAGATATTGTCATTTTTCCAGCTTTAAAGGGAGTGACCGGCTATGTAAGGTAGTTGATCTGAGTATGCAGTATTGTGAACGACAACGAAAAATAAAGTAAAAATTTTACAGTAATCTAATTAGATGGTAAGGAACATATTTCTCAAAAGAAATTTGTCAATAAATCAATGCTAAAATCGATTATTTCGTTTTCATTATCACATTGAATTACTTATTTTCTTTGAATTTATTCGCAGATTTTTTAAAATTTATTCGCAGATTTCTTCAAATTCTTCAAATGTCGTCTTTTCAATAATAATTCTAGAAAATCTGCAGAAATCTTTGTGAATACTGAGAAAACAGAAACTAATAATTGAGCATGATTATTTATTTTAGATGATAAGATTAATTTTTTTGTTCCTATACATCACGTCTGTAGTATATTGTAGAACCTTTTTAAATTTTATGTCGTCGTTATTTAATAATTTAAAAAAATAATTCTGATGCATTCTTTATCAGGTACATACTGTTGTGAATAGGACATGCCACTCTATAAATAAAAGCTTTGTTAAAATTATGTTTTGAGGCCCTTTTTTAGACAAACTACATCAAAGAATGTCTCAAAATCAATTTTGTTTTAACATTATAAAATCCTTTGTTTCACGTTGTTCTAAAACTGAATTTAAATGAAAATATATGAACAAAGAATCATTTAAAACTTTTTTGTCAAGTTAAATCATCCATCCATCTATCTATCATCCATCTATCCCCTATTAGGATGAGTGTTTTAAGTAACTAGCCTTAGAGGGCGCTTCGCGCCCGTCTTCTAAATTAATTGTGAACAAGTTCTCTTTGTGTACATCGTAAAACAAAACAAAAATAATTCACGGATTTTCACAAAAAATTTCGTGGATTTTCAAAATTTTCAAAAATTTTATGAAGATCGAATTTTGATGGAGACAAATAGTTGAAATTTCAATCATTCATAAACCTTCCCTGGGGTCCCTAGATGTCCCAAAAAAAATTTGGGCCCGATCGGTTCAGCCGTTTTGACGTTTATTGGATACAAACAAACAGACAGACAAACAAACAAACAAACAGACAGACAAGCCAAATTTATATATAGATGAACAAGATTTCTAAACAATAAAAAAACTCTTTCTCAGTTCCTAATAACCTTTTTTCTAATTTGTTGTTTGTAAATTTTCTTTTCTTTCCTAATTAAGGAATTAATAAAGTATTTAAATCGTTTTTTCTCCACTGATCCATTTCTTCTGCAGGATCTAGCTCGAATAACGTACAAAAAATCTAGCTTCAAACTTATTATTTCTTTAATAAATCCTTAACCCTATTCTGGTTGGGCTATTAAGTCTAATAGAGGTCCCCCCCCATGATTTTACCCGAGATAAGGAGTGTCCATAATCCCAACTTGTCAAGGCCTTCTCATTAAAAAAATAAAGACCTACATCCAGGGCCGTAACTGGGGGGCGCACCCCCTGTTAGAAATCTAAAATAGTCAGACAGACAATGTTAGGAATTTGAAGAATTAAGACAGAAGAAAAAAAAATACTTTTAGCGCCACATGAGTTAGACGCATTTTTTCCTTGTCTCTGATACATGAATCTGCTTGTGACTTCGATCAATAAATAATTTCAGTTGAAAATTCGCAGCTGGAAAAACTGAATTTCTCCATAAAATTTTTTCGAACAAAAAGAGTACGGTTTTAAAATAAGGGGTCACTTGGAATTACGCCGATAGTCCCATGAAACAGATGAAACAGATGAAACAGATGAAACAGATGATCAGAATAGGACACTTTTATAATTATTCAAAACAAAGAAAGAGGTTTAATACACGGGACAACAAGCTACTCTTTCATTCAATATCTGTCCTGTTTCGTGCAAATAAAGATAAATTTGTTTCCAGATATTATTGTTCATTTAAAATCCTGTGTCAGTTGAGGACTGTTCAATGATATAATTAAGCAATGAAAAAGAATTACATAAAAGTGTGATTATTTGTATCATTTCAAAAATTTTCAAACTGAAAAATCTAAATTTTTTCTATATACAAACGACGTTTGTAAATATTTTAATAATCCTTCTTTATCTAATAGGTTATCTATATACATAGTTGTAAGTTTGTATGTCCGATCATAACCCATAAACCCATTCTATTTGCCTCAAATTTTGATTCAAATTAGGAGATTCTAAGTTGAATGAGTCCGCTTTTAAAGGAAAAAATTGCTAATATCGTAATATAATTTCAAAATACAACAAATTATAATTTTTTATATAAAGTTGATGAGAGGGGGAGGGGGGGTAATTATCTTACAAATTTCAAGCGCTTTTTGAACAAATTCTAAACATAGTGGTGTAATGATTTTTAAAAATATTGAGGGGTGGGGGAATGAAATTTTTATCATTCCCTTTTACTATTAGAGTTTCAGTTTGTGTAAAGTTAAATAAAACAATAGATTCAAATCTTTACACAAAGCTGCTAAGATTTGCAATTTCAACCCTTAAGCTAGATACTAGACTCTTAGGACGTTTCGCTCTACTTTGCTAATAACATTTTTAACTTTAAACTGTTGATGTTTAAGTCGCCATTTTTTCATATACTCTAATAATCAAAATTTTCGCGGATTTATCTTTATATCAATTGGTGGATTTTCAAAAATCGTGGATTTGGGCTGATCGGTTGGGCCGTTTTGACAGACAGACAAGTCAAATTTTTATTTAGATAACAGACTATTTAAAATTGGAGTCAAAAACTTATGAAATTTCAAATGACCCTTTTAAGAATTGTTGGGGAATTTGTTATATTTTCCCGTTTAAAAACTTCCACGATAAAATGGCATTGCCTGATTAACAAGAGTAGCCTTGAAATCTTAATCTGATCAATAATGTGAAAGGTTTCTAGGTTAATAAGTGTTCAACTCTGATAATTCTCATATATTTTTGTGGCAGAGGTGCAAGACTTTACCTTACGACTATTTTCAACATATTTTATTGACATAGATTCTAGTTTTTTTTTAAGGTTTTTTAAGACTTGGATACAATTTTTGGCAGACTTTACGGACAAAAAACACTGTTTGTGACATTTTTTTGACTAAGATACTTTTAATAGTACATTTTATAGATACTGTTGTCTGTTAATGGCATATTTTATGAATTTCGATACTATTTGTGGCAGATTTGATGGACTGAGGCAGACGATATTATTTTGAATTTTCAACATATTTTATGGACTTGGATACTATTTGTGCATTTTCACAAGTTTTTTAGACTTGGATACAATTTGTGACAGACTTCACGGACAAAAATACAATGTTTTTTTTGGACAAAAAAACTATTTGTTGCACATTTTATACATACTGTTAAATGTTTACGGCATGAACTTCAATACTATTTGTGACAGATTTGATAGACACAAGATTCTATTTATGGCTGATTTTATGAACAAAGATACTATATGCAGCATATGTATACATTTTTATTGAAAAACTAGAACTGCTTACAAATCGACTACCGGAAAACGTGTTTGTAAGTGTATGTTTTTTCAGAAAGAATAATTTGATGAACCAATTAGAATTGATAAAATATTTTCGATATTACTTCTCGTTTTTAAAGTACTTACACCCCGGTATTATTTTTGGCGAACTAGCCTCCTGAACGAGAAAAAGAAGTTATTTATTGAAGGTTTAAAATAAATATGTAATCTTCCTTGTATCACTTAGGGTTTATTGATCAATTAAACTATAACAGTTATAAAGCGACTGCACTAAATCAAGTCTGGGAAAGGGTTTTGTGACTTGCAATGGATTGTTTTGAAATCAGATTTTAAGAAATTCGAACACAATTTTGGCTACTTAACATTCATTATTCATTTCCTAGCAATATCATGTAAACATTGTATTTATTGATTCTTGGCAAATATGTCGGAAAAAATTACTTTTTAAAAATACAGTTTCATCTCACGGGTTGAATACAATAGGGTTACCCACAAAGCAGTGCTTAGGATCCATTTAATTTTGATGAAGATCCGGATCCTGGATCCGCACTTGAAAAAAAGAAGGATCCGGATCAAGGTGATAAACTTTCTTTAGGATTTACTTATTTTTTTTTTAAACGCAACAGAATTTTCAAATTAATTTTCTTCTTTTTAGCTAATTTTTTTTTTAAACTTAATGATCAATTCAGAGATCAGAAATTTTGTATAATCTTTCTGTTTAAACATCAGATTTGGGTGGAGTGTTAAGTATTTTTTTTAACGTTTTTGATTGATACTTTGCCCCTATATTTTTGCGGATCCGAATTCAGGAAGCCAAAATCTTACGGATCTAACGGATCCAGACCCTAAGAACTGCCACAAAGGATGAGACTTCAGAGACAACTTTAAGGAATTTATATTGAATTGTTTCCTTACATTCATGATTCTTTGGAACTGTCAATTTGTTTCTGTCTTAAAGAAATCATTGAAAAAGCCATAAAAACACTTGAAGGCAGAGACTTCATTTAACCTTGGAATTATCAAATTAAAATAATGTCAGGACGTATTTACAGTCTTGTCCTACATGTGAGTAACCATGTAATTAACCTTAAGTGCCTAATAGTTACAGCTCGAAATTTTGAGTACTGTTGCGGAAAAAATAAAAATCCGCAATGAGGAAACATGTAAATCCTGGAATGGAGATTCCACGAGAAAATCAAAAACTTCCTAATGTACTTACATTCTGTGAGAGAGGAGAGACAGGCAAAATTTGTGATTGGAACACTGGGACCGTTGTCGCTCATTTCAACCAGATCATTCCTAGGTCAATATAAAGTTCAACAACATGGCTTAGGATCCATTTAATTTTGATGTGGATCCTGGATCTGCACTGGAAAAAAATGGATCCGGATCCAGGTCAATTCTTTAAGATATTCTGAATTTTTAAACACAGTCAGAGATTAGAAAATTTATTGAATTTTTTTTTTTTCAATTGATCAGATTTGGGTTTTGAGAGCAAAAAAGTTTTTATATCATGTTTTTGGATCCGGATACAGGAAGCCAAAATCTTGCGGATCCAACGGATCCGGGTCTTAAGCACTTAAAAGTTCAAGATCAAAAAGGAATTGGAGAGGGGGGGGGGCTGATTTTAGGTGCTTAAAGGGATATATTTGACATTAACTAGCTGACACGTTCCCCCTTTTAGATACTTAACACACAAAAACAGAACAAAAAACAATTACAAGGTCAAATGAGGTTACAATAAATCATCAAAATTTAATGATATTTTCAGCTTCAGCAGTAATAATAAATGATTTTAACAAATATTAAAAGTAAAATTAAGACTAAAAAGGTTTAGGTTAATAAGATCATTAAGTTAAATTCCATATTGGTTATTAATATAAGGTAAATATGGTCTCGGTCATAAGTGTATTAAGATAAAGGTTCAGAAATCGCGGGAAAATTAAATCAATAGAGGTCAAAGTCAACTAGACCGATGCTAGTTAAAAATGTCAAACTTTGCAAAACCCAAAATTAGAAAGAATGATAAAAGTAAAGAAGTCCAAACTAAATTTAAAAAGGTAAGGCAAAAAAATACTGGTAGCAAAAGTCTTAGCTCCAGCAAGATCAATTTAGGCACAAAAATTAAGGTCAAATATAGTCAAAAAATATGAAATGACAACTATTTCTCTCAAAAATATTTAATTAACGGCCCAGGGGTATTTCCAGAATAAAAATATCGACCCTTTGTAAAAAAAGAGTAAAATAAACTTAAATGGCCAAACTTGGAAGAATTTAGGTCAAGTTAGGTAAATTCGGCAATAACAAGTTTTTAAGTTCTAGGTCAATGTTAAGTCTGGTAAATTGTCCATATTGGCAAAAAAGGTCATAACTCCTGCATATGGAAAAATGTGAAGTCTAAAAGTAAGTCATAGGAAATCTCGAGCTCGCATAGCCCTTGTCCAAGGTCAATGTCATGTTGTAAAAGTAAAATAACAAGTTATATAGTCAATTCCAAGAAAGTTTGCACCAAAATAAGAATCAAGGATATATATTTCAAGAAATTATTCTCCCCGTCAGGGAATGATTTTTTATTTACCCCTGTAAAAAAACAGTCTAAAAACATACCTATCATCACAGTTAAACAAATTTAAAGGTAAGGAATCATATTTCAAGAAAGTATAAAGTACACCAGAATAGCTACAATCAAGTAGATTTATCCAGTGCTTAGGATCCGGATCCAAGGGACAAAACATCAACCAAAAACTTAAAAATAAATGTTTTACTGTCAAAACCCAAATTTAAACTATTGAAAAAAGAGACATCATAAAATTTCCTGATTTCTGAATGGTTCATCAAAGTTTTAGCATAAAATTAAGCGAAAAAAAATGTTATTTTTTTTTAATTTCTACTTTGATAAAAAAGATCAGTAAATTTTAAAGATACTAGCCTTAAAGTTCGCGCCCATCTTCTAAATTAATTGTGAACATGTTCTCTTTGAGTACATCGTAAAACAAAACAAAAATAATTCGCGGATTTTCACAAAAATTTCGTGGATTTACCAAATTTTCAAAAATTTAATGAAGATCGAATTTTGATGGAGACAAATATTTGAAATTTTGATCAATCATAAACCTTCCCTGTGGTCATGTGATGTCCCACAAAAAATTTGGGCCCGATCAGTTAAGCCGTTTTGACGTTTATTGAATACAAACAAATAGACAAACAGACAGACAAGCCAAATTTATATAAAGATAACCTGGATCCGGATTTTGATACGGATCCATTTTTTCCAGTGCGGATCCAGGATCCGGATCCGGATCAACATAAAAAGGATCCTAAGCACTGGATTTATCAGAAGTCTCGAGCTAGGTTATAAACAGTGGGTATATATTTTCTTGAAAACTCACCCCCCAGTCCTTGATATTTGTATTTTAAAAATGTTGAGGCAGAGTAGAGCAGATTTAGGGAAAATAATATATATCAGATAAAAAAGGATCAAAATAATTTGGAGGAAATGTTTCAAGCTAGATACGCATTTATTTTTCATACATCCTCAAAGTATATATTCCCGTTTGTCAAATTCTTGGGTTTGGTAAAATAAATGTCATGGCAAAATGTCAAATTCGAATGTCCTAGAACAGCATTGAAGTGACTACAGTCCTTAAATTAATTTTAAAATGCCTACCTTTCCACTTATTTGAAGACTCCAGTTATTTATAATCTTTCATTTTAAAGTTATCTAAAAATATGAAATAAAAATGAAAATGGAATTCATGTCAATATAAAAAAAAATAAAATTGGCTTAATTTACATTCAAACTAACATGCTTGTGCTCCACGGTGTCAGGTTTACGGCACAAATATTATGATTAACGAAAACGTACACCTCTCCCTGTCCCGAGAGCAAATACCAATTACCAAAACTATTTCCAACATATTATTAGACACGAGAATTAAAATATTAATTCTTACTTTTTTTCTAAGACTGTAAGCGGTCCTTCATATTTAATGAAAACCCACACTGTTTTCGAAACAACTCAAGGTTTTCTATTTTCGCACAATTAAAGAATTCGAATCTTTGAAACTTTTAGAAACAAAAACCAACTTACGTAGCAAACCATAATTAGAAAATATTCCACATTTCAGAACAAAACGCACTTTTATAATTTACAGAATATCAGGAACCCTATAAAATATTTTTATAAAATTTTTGAAGTAAAAATGAAAAGTTTGCCACCAAAAACAACTTTTTATTCACTCTTGTTAAAACTTTTCAGTTTAACATAAATCACATTCATTTCTTTTCCACCATAAACCACATTTTCTTTACCAGAAATACAAAGCTTACAAAAAAAGATATCTAACATGTATCATAGAATGGGCAAAAACTTAGAACCATCCAATTTTAGCTACAAATTTCTTATCTTATTATATTCACGAAATAACACTATATAGATTACACAATGTTAGTTTTTGGTTTAAAAATCTTTGTTTCTTTAATAAAAAATAATCTAAAGAAAAAGACAAATATTAAATTGTAAGAATTTATGAAACTAAGCTATAAAATTGAAATGTTTAACTTTAGCAGATTAAAAGGTGATTACTGTACAGCAAAGCGTCATTGAAGGCCTAAATTGTCAAATTCAAAGCCTTAATGGTACCTCATCTCAGTGGTTTTAAACCGAATTTAAAACAAAATAAATTATTTCTAAGTCGACCAAATTTGATTTGATGCTGCTTATTAACTTTAACGATTGTGAAACCAAATCACATATTTTCACTTTGTAAAATATTTTCTCCCCCTTCAATCCAGATTGGAGCCGATTTTCGTGCCGTCTCGGACAAGAAAATGGCGGAATAAAAAGTAGTCCTCAAACAAAAACGGTTTAAAATTTAAGCAAAATTTATCTCAAAGCTAACTATTCAACATTTTCATCTCCTAACTTTATAAAGCATGATTATATTTTTCAAAAATAAATAAATTTGTTCACTAAAAATCCTTCGGCGGAGTAATTTTTTTATGTCTCAGGCCTAGGAAATAGTTCCTGTGACAGACCCATCTAGCGGCAATTCTAGTATTAATTTGTATTAAGCAAAATTAACACGATAAGTATCGATACCAAACTGTATTTAACGCGTATTTTTCGACCTACGCAAATCCGCTATACTATACATCAGACCTACTAGCACGTGATTTTACAGCTGCTAATATGGCCCCCTACCCTCAGAAATTGTCTTAACCTAATTCAGCTGCAATGATGCGTCCCATGCAACATTATAGATTAATCTCCAAGCAATTAACGCCAAAAATACGCACATAGGGCCCGATCAGTTAAGCCGTTTTGACGTTTATTGGATACAAACAAATAGACAAACAGACAGACAAGCCAA